AATGACATTGGACTGAGTTCAAATAATATTTCAAATAGTGAGGATAAACAGTGCCGATAGCTCATAGGGAGTTCAAACAGTCGGCAATAAGCCCCAAATATGGCAATAAGCCCAAGTCATAGTGAAAAACAACAAGTCATAGCGAAATACGCGGTAAAATCAACAACCGGGACGGACCAAGTCACAATCCCCAACGGTGCTCTACCCCACGCTCTCTATTCGGCGTGCAAGTCACCTCAATATAGCACTATGGGTGCAAATCCGGGGTTTCAAACCCTCAGGATATCATTTACAATCATTACTCACCTCGATCCGGCAAAATCTCTAGCCCGCGACGCCTTTGCCCCGCGAATCAGCCTCCACGTGCGTCGAATCTAACCAAAATCAGAGCGAGTATATCACAATATGCCAAGGGAACGATGCCCAATCGAAAACAATCGAAATATAGCAAAAATCTCAAAACTAGCAAAACCCGAGCCCCTAGTTCTTCCAATTTTTACACAAATTTCCAAGAATTAAAGGTTGATTCTTCAATAAAAATGACGTTTCTAGGTCACGAGACTTACCTCCAATTGATTCCCATCAAAATCCTCTTCAATCTCTACCAAAAAGCTCTTAAGGTGGTCAACAATGGAGGAAATCATCCCAAGCTCGCGGATGAAATATTGAATAAAAACCCTCCTAAACAGTCCAGTTTTTGCTTCTGCGGTCCCCACGCCTGCTTCCGCGTGACCGCTTCTGCGGTCCTTGTCCGCTTAAGCGGAAATTCATTAAATCACAAGGGTCGCTTCTGCGACACAATTTCTCGCTTCTGCGAAGTCTCACCTCCAAGCCCAAACCGCTTCTGCGACTTCTTGTCCGCTCCTGCGTACTCGCTTAGGCGAAAATACTTCCGCTTCTGCGGAACTGCTCAACCTCATCCTATTCTGCACCTGCGATGCTTTCTCCGCTTCCGTGCAACCGCATCTGCGGTCTCCTTTCCGCAGATGCAGAAATACCTGCTGCAGCGAAGAACCTGCAATTACCAACTTCAAATTTTCTTCCAATGGCCACCAGAAATCACCCCGAGGCCCTCGGGACCTCAACCAAAAGCACCAACATGTCTTAAAACATTATTCAAACTTGCTCCAATCAACGAAACACCTCAACTAACACTAAAATCGTTGAATTACATCGGATTCAATCCTAAGTTTCTTAAAAACTTTCGAAATACGCATTTGATCGAAAACCCGCTCAAAACACCTCCGAATGGTCTGAAATTTTGCACACATATCCAAAATCACCTAACGAAGCTACAGAAACTCTCGTAATTCCATTCCGACCCTCAGATCAAAATCTCACCTATCAATCGGAACTCGCCGAAATACTAACTTTGCCAATTCAAGCCTAATTCTACACCGAACCTCCAAACTCAATTCCGATCGCACTCCTAAGTCACAATTCACCTCCCGAAGCTAACCGAATCACCGGAAACCACATCCGAGCCTCCCAACTCATAAGTCAGCGTCCGGTTGACTTCTCCAACTTAAGCCTTCCTTAAAGAGACTAAGTGTCTCATTTTCTACCAAAACCAATCCAAATCAACTCTAACACACCAAACACTGATAATGAAACATGAAGAAGCATGAAATGGGGGAAATGAAGCAGTAACACATGAGACGACGGGTCGGGTCGTTACAGTTTTCTTATCAACAGCAGCTATTTGGGACATGAAGTCATCAAATTCTGATTGAAGGTATACTCTTGCAGCACTTTGAAAGAGATTTATCACAGTGTTTCTCACTCTTCTTTGCTTCAGATTCTTTTCTAAATGATAGATGCAAATTCCATGGTAGCACTCATGGAAAACCTTTGCAATTCCATTAGCAATAGCCTTGTGTCGATCTGACAAGAACATTAAATCATTACGAATCCCAATTGCTTTTCTTAATTCCCTGAAATACCATTCATATGATTCATTATTCTCTTTATCCACTACTCCAAAAGCTATAGGAAAAATCTGGTTATTTGCATCTTTGGTAACAGCCACTAATAGAACACCTCTATATTTATTTTTTAGAAATGTTCCATCAACAGCAATCAGTGGTCTACAATACTTCCACCCAGAAATTGATGCCCCATACATAAAAAACATGTAAACAAACCTGTAAAAAGAAAAGTAAATAGAATTCAGTTAACTTACACAGTATAATATACTGGAGATAAAGCTCATACAAGCCACACGTCCTGTAAAATTTACGGGCATCAAACAAAAATTAACTATTTTATAATATTCTTCCAGTATAACATACTGGAGTTCCATTAACATCCAGTATAATATACTAGATAAAATAAACTAAAAATACAAAATTTTAGGTTGAACAGAACTCACCCAGTATATTATACAGGACAGAAAGCTTATAAAATATAGATATCCTGTAAAATATACTGGATGACAACCACTAACATCCTGTATAATATACTGTACAAAATCAAATACAATAGATTGAAGAGAAGTCACCCAGTATAATTTACAGGAAAGAAAGCTTTTACAATACACACGTCCTGTAAAATATACCGGAAGACAAACACTAACTTCCTGTTTAATATACTGGACAAAATGAAATAAAATTAAAATACATAACTTAATATTTTGTTTCCTGTATATTAAACTGGAGTTATATACTGTTAAACCACTATGTCCCGTATTTAATAATGGACATAAAAAATCACTCAAAAAAAGTAATAAATAAAAAGAACTCATCCAGTATAATTTACAGGAAAGAAAGCTTATACAATACACACATCCTGTAAAATATACTGGACGGCAACCACTAACATCCTGTATAATATACTGGACAAAATAAAATACAATAGATTGAACAGAACTCACCAGTATAATTTACAGGAAAGAAAGCTTATCATAAATAAGAAATTTACCTGTTTTCTTCATCTCTCACAATATTTGTATATGATCCTGGATTTTTTTGTTCCATCATATACAAATATGATGGCAGCTGCTCATAATTCTGTTCAGTTGTTCCTCTTAACAAAGATAACCCCTTTTGAATAGCATGCCATGCTTTTCCATAACCAACATCAATTCCATGTGCTCTTTTCATCTCTGAAATGACAAACTTAGGTTTTACCTCAGCAGCTATGTCTCTTAAGTTGTCAATCACGTAATCTCTAATCACATTTGAAGTTGCTTGCCTTTGATCTGATTTTCGAATATCAACTGAGCACTCATGTGTTCTCTGAAATTTAACTATTTTAAAAAGTGTTGATTCCTTAATTCTTGAACCTCGAACAGTCCAAGTACACTTTTCATCAGTACATACCAAAGAGTATCTCGTGTTACTTGACCTGTTAACATAGAACTCAAAATGCTCCTTTATAGCTGCTAAGCAAAAACATCTAATCATGACATTTTTATCTTGAAAAACAGAACCAAGTTTTACATCATCCAGTGATGCATTTTCCTTTAATATTATTGATGGAGATTATTTTGCCTTTCCTTTTCCTTTACTTTTTCTTCCTTCAATACTTTGTAGTGATTCAATGTGCTGATCTTCCACAGGAATTACAATTTCTTTTTCCATTGTAATATCATAAATTGGATTCTCCTGCTCTTCTTCAACTTGAGATATCAGCAACACTTGCTCTTCCGGACCATATGTGTTACTGTGCAATAACTGTTGATTATCAATTTCCATTATTGCATTACCTTCTAGTTGTTGATCTGGTTTTTCTGATATTTCAACAACAAATTTCGAATCTTTATAGTACGGATCATTTTTTAAAAGAATCATACACATAATAAGATCTTCATCTTTTGTCGCTTCTATTCCCTTAGAAGTACCTAGGTTGATATTAAGCCATACATTTGCTTGAAACTTTTTGTTGTCAAGCTCTATAACATCAAAAATTTTTCTAAGGAATTCTTCAAATGAAGTCCCATCATTTATCAGGAGGAGCTTCGTTTTATGATTCAAGTACTTGTAATCTGCTGTCCATTTGCCATCGAACGCAATAATCAAGAAATTTGTATGCATCCTGTATTTAATGAACCCAAATAATTAGATATCTAGAAATTATACTGTTTAAAAATATAATATTCATCCAGTATAATATACTGGAGAATAAGCTTACATACAGGTGATGTCCCGTAAAATATACTGGATTAAAACAAAACTCAATTATATTCTAGTCTTAGAACTTATCCAGTATAACATACTGGAGAAAAAGCTTAGACACAGGCGATGTCCCGTAAAATATACAGGATTAAAACAAAACTCAATTATAATCTAGTCTGAAAACAGAATTCGTCCAGTATAACATACTGGAGAAAAACATTACACACAGGTGACGTACTTTAAATTATTCTGGATTGAAATAAAACTCAACTATATTATAACATAATATCTACATTAACGAAACATACTTCAAGTGAATTACAATGCATTTTTTATGAGATTTCCAATATAATAAGCTGGAAACGTCCAGTAAATTATATTCTAGTCTAAATAGAACTCAACTATATTCTACTCTAAATAGAACTCGTCCAGTATAACATACTGGAGAAAATTTTAAACACAGGTGATTTCCTGTAAAATATACTGGATTGATATAAAACTCAATTATATTCTAGTTTATGCAGAACTTACCCAGTATAACATACTGGAGAATAAGCTAACACACAGGTAATGTCCCGTAAAATATACCGGATTCAAACAAAACTCAATTATATTCTAGTCTTAGAACTTATCCAGTATAACATAAAAAATATTACACACAGGTGACGTCCCGTAAAATATTCTGGATTCAAATAAAATTCAATTATATTCTAGTCTTATAACTTATCCAGTATAACTTATTGGAGAATAAGCTTATACACAGGTGATGTCTCGTAAAATATACTGGATTCTATCAAAACTCAATTATATTCTAGTCTTAGAAATTATCCAGTATAACATACTGGAGAATAAGCTTACACACATGAGATGTCCCGTAAAATATACTGGATTAAAACAAAACTCAATTATATTCTTAGTCTTAGAACTTATTCAGTTTAACATACTGGAGAATAAGCTTACACACAGGTGACGTCTATAAAATATTCTGGATTCAAACAAAACTCAATTATATTCTAGTGTTAGAACTTATCCAGTATAACATATTGGAGGAAAAGCTTACACACACGTGATGTCCCGTAAAATATACTGGATTCAAGCAAAACTCAATTATATTATAATATAATATCTACATTAACGAAACATA